GGGGGGGGGGGGGGGGGAGCTTAAAAGCTATAAAATAGATTTGATCTAGAAACAGGAATTAAAGAGCAGGCAAGCACATCCAGCAACGCTCAACTGCAAAAACACTTTATTTGGTCAAAAATGTTATTGAAGAGCCCTAAGGGCTTACTGAAAGAGCTCACTGACCCCCTAAATGGAGAAAAATGTTAACATTCTCCATAATCACCACCAGAAAAACCTCTTGTGGTGGTTTTTCATTGTAATAACCGGAAGAAATAGCACAATTCTGTTAATTTAAGCAATTTTATCAAGATATAATTAATTCCATTACCTTCGGGTCCTCTGTCTTGTAACAACTCTTAATGTAATTTGCAAACTTGGCTTCTAACTTAGGAAGATTAATTCCCTATTGAATAAAGGAAAGAGACAAATACAACATTAAAACAATGAACTACAAAATCTATAGTTCACGCTACAAATAAGTTAATTTAAGATACAACTGACTCACATGCAAATGCCCTAGGGAAATCTTGCAACTGTCAACGAAGACCCATGGAACTGCGGTTCACATGGCAAAATATATTAAATGGGGACTGCAAGCTAAAATTACAATTGGCAGGAGCAAAAATCTACTTCTTCCACCAAAAGATGCCTAATGCCTTTTGCCTGGAAGAATGCATGGAGGAAAAGGTGAGGAGGCGGGTGTCCCTCCAATGTGAAAACGCAAAAATAATATAAGCACAATATTTATGTGTTCACCACCACTAGGAGGTTTACAATCAAGCACAAGTTTTCTACATTAAAAACACATTCTACCACAGTAGCCACAACTGTTCAGTATGATAAAATTACCTTTTCCATGGTTGTCTGCATTTTTGTTTTTATCTCCTCTATAGAGAATTGTTTTGGTGATTTTACAGGCCGTGGTGTTTTAGGAGTCTCTGGTGCCTTCTCTTTCTGGGATTCTGGAGTCTGAAACATACCAAACTAGGGTTAAAAATCCCTCAACAATAAAACAAAAAATCTGATGAGTGACAATTTAATTCCCAGTACCTGTTACATAACTGTATTCTATTGATGAGATTATATGACTGACGCCCAGGTTTCATCATGGTGTGCTAAATCTAAGCCCCAGCTTGTATTAATGAGGAAGGGAAAAGCAAGCAGACAAAAGGTAGGAAGGGAAAAATCTTCGGCCATTATGCTGTCTGGACAAATAATAGCAAGCAGGGCTTACTTAACTTCAGTAGTTTTATATAACGGAATGTATTTTTTAAAAGACATTTCAAGTATGTGCTTCTAAACCTCCAGTAAATGTTTCTTTTATGTCTGTTTAGTAAAATGTCTTTTAAATCTTTAACTCGGCTTTAGTAGATACAAGTAAGAGTTTCATCATAAATAATACCCAATACTATTTAGCATTTGTCTTTGTCACATTTTTAGTGATTATTCTATCCACATTACAGAAGATATTCATCCATCCACTTCTGCAAGGATGATGGATTGTGTCAGTGTTCGACTGCAGATGATTGTACAAGGATTCAGCCTACTCTTTGCCTTGCACCCTCATCCTACTTTTATTTGGAAGTCTGTGCTGCTTTAGCCAGTTCATTTACAGGTAGTCCTGGCTTAATGACTACAAGTGGGGCTGGCAACTGTCACTAAGCAATGTGGTCATTAAGTGAAACATCACATGACCGCGCAGGACTTATGACATCACTTTCATTGTTAAGCAAGTCACCGTGTTAAGCTATGGTTAAGTGAATCACCCAGTCATTAAGCGAGAAATCACATGACCACAACTTGTGATTTTACTGCCGGTTTCTCCACTGACTCTGCTTGTTGGAAGCTGGCTGTGATGTACACAAATGGCAATCACATGACCACAGGGATGCTCCAATGGCTGATCGTAAAGTTACTTTTCCAGCGTTGTCATAACTTCGAACAGTCACTAAACAGGGCAGTCATTAAGTGAGGTCTATCTGTACTTCTCTCAACTATACAACTAGTGCTATTAGTTTTTATCTTGTGATAATTGACAGGGAGAAGATCTTGAATGAGCATTCTATGTTTTTAAGAATACATTTTCTAGATTCTAATTTTAATTCCTATAATACACAGGTATTATATTTTAATCAGATATTAAAAACGTAGATTAGCACTACTTCTAATTTTCTAAATTTATGTGAGCCAGTGACGAAAATTAATCTGCATACTCACTTTCAATTTGGATACTGTCAACTTTGGTGTTGCCAACTTAGAATCTTTTCCATTCTGTTTTGATTTTGGTGTCTTCTTCACAGAAGAATCTCTGGCAGGCTAAAAGCAGAGTACATGTTAATAGCCTCATTTTAATATTCTCAAAAAAAAGACTAAGCCAACTATTACTTGCCAGAATTTTTAGTCTACAACTTCCACAACCCATGTTTTTGTCCATGTTGGCTGGAACTGATGAAAACTGAAGTCCAAATCTACAGCCTGCCACTACTACAAAGGCTTAACTACAAGTTCATATAGAAATGAAAATGCAAAGTTCAGTGTTCCAGCAGAGTCCAGCCAAACAGTAACAATGCCATATGCAGGCTAAATGCTTATTTTCCAGTCTTGAGCAAAATTCATCTGGCATCATCCTCTTAAGACATTTTCTGCCTCAAAGGTATGGGGGGGGGGGCATGGCTTTAAATCAGTTTAGTTCTAATGTAGCCTGCTCAAACAATTTGGTTTACAGAGCATATGTTAATCTATTTGCATAGCATACAAAACTGTCTGAAAGAACATTGCAGTCAGTCAAAAATAATTGACCTGTAAGAGCCGTGTACTCAAAATGGAAGCCATGTCTGACTCTGAATACATGTTTACTTATTTCCACCATCTATTTATCTATATGCAGTAAAAACTGCTGTTTTAGAACTATTCTTATTTATCTTCTAAGAAAACCGGGCTGTTATTTTAAGCTATAGCTCCACCTAGTGATGCTGTCTCCAGGAACATTTATATAACTTAACTCTGCACTAAACTATTGAGCCAAATGTGGGAAAATTTTAATTTAGCCTTACATAAAATTTTGTAATTTGAAAGCAGATTTTTTTACATTTATTCCAAATACTTCCTTAACCAATGCAATTTGAATCAGCTCAGTTGCCATCCTCTTCATTTTTCAGCTCAAAAATTTACTTTTAAAGATAAGAGAAACACCTTCCTCTTTCTATCTTACAATTCACAAAAACTTTTTCCAGTTCAGAGATTCTTTTACCTTCTTTAAGTGCAGCCAAGTGCAGTTTCCCTTCACAGAAAATATAGTTAAAACACATAGGGAAAAGATAGAACAAATAGCCTACTGTGCCAGCTGAATGGTGTCAACATTGATATTCAACAGATATATGCTGTTCACTGTTGAAAACAGCACCTTATCATTCAATAAGCAATGTAATGTGAGAAGGCATGAAACAGAATAACCAAATGCATTTTCTGGGAAGAGGAGACAAACAGCTACTCCTAAACGGGTCATCTGGTATCCACAATATTGGGGAGAACACAGGAAAATAATGTTCTGCACGTGGACTATCGAGTTCCATTCTGGGGTCAAAAGCAACAAGATGTGTAAAACTTCCAGATTTTAATGATGCAGGCTGCCCATCCTAAATAGGTTTTTAAAAGCAGAAATTCAAATATTCAGCACAGGGCTACATGATTCTGTCTGGATTTGCAGCTTCCAATGATCTCCTTTGAATCCCTTAAATTCATATACCTTAAGTCCACTTTCACTTCTCACTACAAAGTCAGATATTATGAAGTAGTTTAAGGAGTAGAAATACTTACCTTTTTCTGTGGAATCTTATCTTCCTCATCATCATCTTCGTCCTCATCCTCATCATCACTGCAATCAAAATTCAGTTTATGTAAATTCTTTAAGCCTGTCAAGTCTAATAAACTTGATATCCCAATCCCAATTCTATACTAGCACAGGGTGGGGGGTGGGAAAGAGCCAAAACGGCAGGCACAGTGCAGCCATCCCCCTTCTTTGTGTGTATGCAACACACATTAGGGGTTGCATCTTTGATCTCATGGCTTCGCCCACCATCTTGATTTTTTTGACCTCTATCCCCACAACAGATGTTGGAACAAGATGAGAAAAACAGCAACTTAATGGAAGACAGATCTTGATGAAGAATGTGGTATCCCAGTCTAATGGAAGTTTCACAGAAGACAGCAGCAGGCCTAATCATGTGAAATTTTTCTTAAGTTTTTAATATGAAAATTTAGATTCTCTGATAAAATCATACTTCCACACATTATCTAACCAAATGTAGAGTTCAGGTATGTAATACAGGCACTATTTTAAAAAATAATGTAGTCTCTAAAATACATACCCAAAATAGATTTAACAACTTTAGAGAAATGTTTCTCAATTGTATTTCCTACCCAGGCTACTTATTTAAACCCAATAAATTACTTCAAATGTAACATACTCTTCTTCATCGTCCTCGTCGTCATCATCATCTTCATCATCATCCCCCTTGTCTGTCATCCTTGCTTTTTTCTTTGAAAGAACAAATGTAAGTTAGGAGAACACATGTACCATATTCAATTCTTTTTACATCTCCCAATGTAAAGATTATCAAGGATGTCAATCAAATTAGGAAAACGGTTAATCTGTTTCTTTTACATGTCCCACTAGAAGCAGTTCAACCATCAGTTTTATTCACAGGCTTGATTCACAAAGTGCTTCAGTAATTTTCTTCTGCAATCTAAAATAATTTGGGTTCGTGTGGCTAAATTTACAGCACAGGAGTATTCCTAATATCCTGCAGTACAGATGAAAATAGCGCATTCCATCTGAAGCTTACCTGGGGAACTTTAGCCAATGTCACACCTGCAGGTCTTTTTGCCATATTTTGTTGTACTTTATCCTCTTCATCTTCAGATTCTGGTTCTTCCTCTAAAGCTATTACAGAAGATAGAGTAAACCAGACATTATTTTCCAACCATCAAGACAAAACTGAAACTAAATTTTATTTAGCAAGCTGAATGGAAATAACCCAAATTAAAACACAGAGTGTTATAAACTTCCATACCTACAAGATGTTGTCCACTGACATAAACAGGTCCTGAGCCACTTTTCAATCTCAGAGTTACAGGAGGTGTAATTTCAAAGCCACCTAATGAAACCTTAAGGGGAAAATAGAAAGTACAAATGAAATGAAAAAAATTGACAGGCAGAGACATCATTAACTGGAACTCAAACCAAAACAGGCTGAAGGAGGTAGCTATTATTTCCAAACAAAGCTAAAAATTGCAACCCAACTGACTAAGGATCCTTTGCTCAAAGTTAAGATAGCTAACCAAGGAGACCAAAAAAAAAAGGGGGGGGCTCTCAAGAAAGGGAAATTTCTTTCCTAAGAAAGGGGAGGAAATACAAAACACACTAATTCAGTTTAAGTAGGGTTGCCCTTGAAGGCCTAACTCTGCAGAGGACCCAAAATACAGCTGCCTACTTGCAGCCCTAACCAGTTCAGAATAACACCTGTTTTGCACAAGTTTCACTGGCTGCCAGTAGGCTTCTGGGCCCAATTCAAGGTGCTGGGAGTTACTTATTAATCCCTCCATACACTTGTTCCCTCTGGGAATGTCTTCTGAAGGTATTATCTTCCCATCCTACATGGCCCAGCAGGGAAGGATGCTCTGAGTGCTCCCCCCACTAAGCAATCAGAGGGCTGAAATCATTCTCAGTATCAGCCTCCTTACTCTAGAACAGCATTTCTCAACCTTGGCAGCTTGAAGATGCATGGACTTCAACTCCCAGAATTCCCCAGCCAGCATGTTAGGGAATTCTGGGAGCTGAAGTCCATGCATCTTCAAGCTGCCACGGTTGAGAAACACTGCTCTAGAACAACATGGTCCCTGAGATCAGGCTGGCCCCCAAACTTCTGTCCTTTAAGCTGCATGTATTTCCTAACATTTTCATTATAAACAACACAAAAATGTGTTCAAAACATCTGCATTTCACTATTCAAACCAAGCACATAAAAAACAGAAGTTTTATCACAAACTTGGAGCAAAATAAGTTGGTCATAATATAAGGCCTTTTTGAGCTTTTGCTTCAGATTGGCTTTTTCCAAACCTGGCTCTTCCCCACAGTATTGGCAGAATGAGAAAATGCAGAAGCAGCGCTCATTTAAGCAGACAGCAATGCTGCTGGACTACACAGATGCCACATCTCAATTCATCAGAACTTATGAATAGTGCCCACAGCTGTCTGCCTTTAAAAAAAAAAAAACCAACTGGGGAAGAATCAAAAGAAATGTTGGTAACCAGTTATCAGTCACTTCTGATTCATGATTTGAAGGACATAATTTTGCCACAATCTTAGTACCCAAAGGCGAACATAAATTTTTGTCGAGTACCCTGC